TGCTGCGTTTGACCAGGCTGTTGCTCAGTCGGACGTGGCCGCTGGTGATGCAGAGAAACTTAGTTCCTGGTTTGACTTTTCTTGTCGCTCCATAATGGACTTGGTGGCCCCGTTGAAAACTCTGCAATGTAGGACGAGGCTGGAACCCTGGTTTGGTACTAAAACTCATGCAGCTAGACAAACCTGCCGCAAAGCAGAGCGCCGTTGGAAGAAGGATGGACTGCAGGTCTCGTTTCAAATCCTAAAGGACTGTTAGCGTAACTACCAGAAGACTGTTGAAGAATCAAAACGAGAGTATTTGTCAAATATTATTGTGTCTAACAGTCATAATCCGCGTGTCCTGTTTAAAAGAATCAGGTCTGTTGGACCCTCCACAGTCTACCTGCTTGGAAGCATTGGTTGAGCTGTGTGATAATTTTTTATGGGTTTTTAATGAGAAGCTTGCTATTATAAGGCCGTCTGTTCCAACTTCTGTTTTAGATCCTTCTGAATGTGCCCCTTGCCTGGCTGTTTTTGATGCGTTTGAGCCTGTGACTCTCCTGTTTTTGGAGGAGGTAGTTAACCAGGTTAAGCCATCTGGCTCCCCTCGAGATGCTATTCCCCCGTCTTTATTCGAGGAGGTCTTTCCTTGTATAGGAAAGCTGGTTCTGGCTATTATTAATAGCAGTATGTCTTCAGGTGTTGTCCCTGAACATTGTAAACATGCAGTTGTGCAACCTTTGCTCAAGAAACCAGGTCTTGATCGTGCTATTCTGAATAATTACAGGCCTATTTTTAAGTTGTCTTTTATTTCGAAAGTACTAGAGAAAGTGGTTTATATACAACTGAAATCCTTTTTAGATGAGCATAATGTATTCGAGGTTTTTCAGTCTGGTTTTAAAACTCGGCATAACGTCTGCTCATGGCACATTTTGGTTTTTAACGATATTTACCTGGCAACAGATGCTGGTGGCTATGTGATTCTTGTTTTGCTGGATCTGACCGCTGCTTTTGACACGGTTGACCACGATATCCTAATATCTTGACTTAAGGAGTTAGTGGGCATCCGTGGTACTGCCTTGGAGTGGTTCAGGTCTTATTTGTCGGATAGGACGATGTCTGTTGGGTTTGCTGATGTTGAGTCCTCATCTACCCCGTTGGTATCTGGGGTTGCGCAGGGCTCAGTCTTACAGGTTGTGTTTTTAGAAAACATGGGGTTTCTTTTCACTGTTATGCGGATGATGTGCAGATGTACATACCAATGAGGGGAAGGGACACATCATCGGTTGTATCATTATTGTCATGTTTTGATGACATTAAGAACTAGATGGCTTTGAATTTATTGAAATTAAATGATATGAAAAAAGAGGTTATAGTGTTTGGCCCAAATAATTTTGGTGATTCTCCCCCAGTTGATCTAGGTTGCTTGCAGCAGTATGTGTAGTCAACTGTTACAAGCCTAGGTGTTGAAATAGATTCCAATTTTAGATTGGAATATCAAGTGAACGCACTTGTAAGGGCTAGCTTTTTTTCACCTTCGACAGCTGGCAAAGGTAAAGCCTCTTCTTTCGCGGCAGCACTTTGAGACAGCAATACATGCGTTTGTTACGTCTCTCCTGGATTATTGTAATGCGCTCTATTTTGGGCTTAGTCAGATGTCCCTTGCCTGTCTTCAGAGAGTTCAAAATGTGGCTGTTCGTTTACTGGTTGGGGGGCGCAAAGGGGAGCATATCACTCCCATTTTGGCTTCTCTTCACTGGCTGCCGGTGTATTTTAGAATTCATTTTAAGATTCTTTTATTTGTTTATAAGTCTTTAAATGGTTTGGCCCCCTCTTATCTTACAGAGTTGTTGCGTCCCTATAGTCCTTCTCGGACTTGTGTCAAGTTTACTGTGGCTTGTTATACCCCAGTTCTTTAATTGAACAGATCTGAATGAAGACAGAGTCCAACTTGCTTCATTTTAGTGCTGGTTTATTTTAAAAGCCACAATAAAAAGTTACAGAAACAAAAACCCGGGTAGCGCCCAGCTCCAGACTACTGCTGGAAGAAAGGAGACCCTGGAAACACAGAGCCTAATACATTTATAAGGTTTTTGGGTTAACCCCTTATACAAAAAGATATAAAAACATCAGGAGTTGGAGACAGTCCGACTACAGATCTATTTGGTCTTTCATGTGGAGATGTTTTGTTTTGCGTGCGCGAAATCAACGATTTCCCCTGAGACAGAAAAGCATCTTTGTCCATTTTACACACAGGTTCTTCTAACAGAAGGTGACAGGGAGAATCTTTTACTACTTGCTGGTACTGTTTTACAGTAGGCAGTGAAATTATATGTGTTACTATGATATGGGAAATTCGATTCTCTTTTAAACTGCATTACTAACACACATTAAAGTCTAAGAACACAAAGTCTAAGAATGATCTGACTAATTTATTAATTTCTAACAGGCCTTAAATTGAACCTTTTCAATTAAAGGAACACACTTCTCTCAGGAGAGACATTTAAAAAGGTTGAAATCTCTGTAACAGAGGTTGAGCTACCGACCAACTTGGTCTGTGTTATGGTTCAAGCTCCACAATCTCTGGATCCTACATTTCTCCTGATGCTAGTCTGCAATGGGGATGCCATTCGGTAATTTCAAAATATTAAAGGAGCATCTGTGGGGATCAGTCATGTTTGTATAGAGGCCAGTACCACCCCATGCCCCTCTGGCTGTCACAGAACTGACTTAGTCAAACCTCAGGTGATTTATGAGCCACAGATGTGCTGCAAATATGTGTTATGATTTTACATTGTTTAACAATGGCACTTTCCCTCTCTTTGTCTGTCTCTTGCTATAGGAACAGAGAAGAGGAACCGGAATAAAGCTTCACTCCTGTCAGCACTGTGACAAGGCCTTCTCAACATCACAGTCTTTAAAGTACCATCAGCGTATTCACACTGGAGAGAAGCCATACAGCTGTGACCAGTGTAGCTCAGGTTTTAGAACGTTGGGGAGTCTAAAAGTCCATCAGCGTATTCACACTGGAGAGAAGCCATACAGCTGTGACGAGTGTGGCTCAGGTTTTAGAAC